CGCGTAGGGGCCAAAGGCTATCTTCTCCAGTGGCACAATTTAGGGCCGTCCCCATTGGACAGTGAGGATCCTGGCAGCTGCCACGGCATTCGTGCCCCCGGTGACCCCGGAAGGGACCTCTGCGGCTCTGGTTTGCTCAGGTATAAAGGAGCAGAGTGGGGCAGGGGTTGGTTCCATGCAGGTCCCACCCCCCAAGTCTTTGCTGCTGGAAAGGGGAGGGTGTGTGGCAAGGAACCAACACACCTCCTTTCGACCTCTGCTGCTTGGAGAAAGTGGGTTGGGCAGGAAAGAGCGGCAAGGAGATGATAAGGCAGGGGAGTTTGAGAATCCATGCGCATCAGAGGCCGCCGGGCCCAGTGGTTTGCAGAAAGAAGGTCTCAGGTGCAATTTCAAGCAGCACCTCTGGGTCGCGCTGGGAATGTCCGCTGCCCGAGCCCCCGGACAGCTGCTGCCGGTCAGTGTAGAGCAGTGTTTCCCCAACACGGGTCTCCAGCTTCTTTTGGACTACAACAACTCCCATGATCCCTGACTGTCCTTGCTAGCTAGGGATGATGGGAGTTGTAGTCCATCAACAGCTGGAGACCCAGGTTTGGGAAACACTGGTGTAGGGAATTCTGAGCTGGCTTGTCTCCCTGTAAGGCACCTTCTCTGAAAATCAGATCCACGCTTTAGACATGAAGCAGGCAGAAGTACGAACAGACTGCCTTCAACCACGCTGAGCCAAGCCACTGGTCTACCTGGGAATATAGTGTCTCGCTCTGGCTGGCAGCAGCTTTCCATTCTGCAAGTTGGGATCGCGTCGCTGGAGATGCCAGGGTTAGAAGCTGGGATGTGAGGCGTGCAAAGCAGGGACTCATATCCATAGTGGTGCTGAGTCCCTCATCTGGCTAGTGCAAGGAGTTCGCTTGGCACTTCCCCCCCTCCCTGGCCTGCTAAATCCGGAGCAGATTTGGGGAGCGTGCAGGCGAGGGGGACGTCCCACGGCACAAATCCTTACACTAATGGAAGGAGAGACTTCGTGCCGCTTTGGGTGCAAGGACTGAGCTGCAGGACCGTCCCCAGAGCTGACCTCTCTTCAGGTGTGAGGTTGGACTTCTCAAGGACGGTGCCACCACCTGGCAGGCCCTGCTGCCATCCGAAGGCCTTGCCCACCCTTAGAACCAGCTAGGCAATTTTGCCTCCATTTGCTGTGGGGATCGGGAAGGGACAAAGCACACATTTGTCACACCGCCGACATCCACTGGGACCCACCAGCACATCTCTGAAGACACTGCTTGGATTCACAAAGGCAACTTTTTGCTAGCGGGCTCTCTGCATATGCGTCTAATTCCCCCTGAACTCATTCCTTGAGGTCTCCATCCCTGGCTTATGCTGCCATGCAAGACTTAGACACAAAAAAACAGTGGGTTTTCAGCTGAAACCGTCCAAATAAATTGAAAGTTTATGCACAAAGACCCTCACAGCTGGTTCTATAAAACAAAGCTAGCATTCCCCGCAAGGGAAGTGTTATCACACAGAAGCCAGACAACCGACCGCACAGCAGGTCAACTGTTGTCGTTGTTTTAAGTCTTATTTTAAGCAGCGGCAACACAGATCCATAGATCCAGCCTCGGCTTTTGTGTGACCGTGAGATATGGCTTCCGATGATCTCCACAGAGCATCTTTACTTCTACACCAAAAAAAGCCAGAAAGACGAGAAACGAGATGGCTTGTCCAATCACACAGCTCAGTCTCGCAAGGCGCAACCCTCGCCTTCGTCAACACAGCGGTGAACTGAAATCCGGAACATTCCTCCGCTCAGTCGCCAGGGTGATACTGCCCTCTAATGGCAAGAACTGTTTTATCTACAGAGCGTCTCCATTTTTGATCGGACGCAAGACAACAGGCTGGGTGACGGAGGTGGCTTCAAAATTCACCAAACGGCAGGCACAGCTGAAGCCGTGTGCCCACCTGTGGCATTTGGGAATAAGGCACTTTTGAGCTCACCTCCCTCATGTTTCAAATCAGCTGAGTCAGCGTGCCGAGACTTGGCCCTCACATGCGGCTAGACCCTATGGAGGAAAGTTCTCATCACCGCATAGCGACTTCGCAGGTGTTCCTCCATGACACAGATGCTCATCTGAATCCAACTCAGATTAGATCAGGGTGTGTGCGTGTGCATCTGCATTTAATATCAGCCTGCAGCTTCACCGTACAAATTGACTGCCGCCTGATATTATGACTTGAGATCAGCCTTGGCTATCCTGGTGTCGTGCAAAGGTGCTTGGACCGCAGTTCCCATCTGCATGGCAGCATGATCCTGGAAGCTCATGGGAACTGTAGTTTAAACACCTCTGCCCGGCACCAGGTTAGCAAAGGCTGTCTTAGATCGTTCAGCAGTTCAGCTCAAGAAGAGCAACGGCAAAAGGCTGATCGATAAGAATTCAGAATCAAGGAATTTGGGTGCAGCCATGCATCCGGGACGGACGAAAGGGCCGCCTCAGGTGAGCTGTCGCTGTTATTACCTGTGTCTCAAGAGACACAGAGGAAAGTGTTAAGCAAACCGCGATGGCTGACTTGTGCGATCGTGCGGTGCTGGGGCATTCATGGGAGACTGGGAAACAGCTAACTTCAAAAAATCTCCTCCAAAATAAAGTCTCCAGGGTAAACCAGCCAAGCTTATTGGTAATATCACCAGCCCTTCTCAAGCACCCTGATCACCACACCAGAGTGAAAAGTCAGCCTCGTTCCTTGCTGAAATTTGTCTCACCATGATCCAGCCTCTCTACAGATCTGGGTGGGCAACGTCTGATGCTGCGTCAAATGACAAGAGGGCTGTCCAATGGGAAGCGAGGAACAGAGCAAGCAACGGCAACACTGCTCCTTTATATACAGTCCTCCAAGCCCAACACGGTCCACTCTCCGTGTATTGCAGCCTACCAGGTGCTTTGAATCCCCAGGTTGCCATCCTTGGTTGAGGAGGGATTAAGATTGGCCTGCCAGGGGTGGAGTCTGCAATTTGCTACGGCTGGTACCAGAATGCTATGGAGAAGGGGGTTGGCACCTGTGCCAAACTGGCAGTGCCAACGGCAAAGCACAACATAAAGGACATGCAGTCTCACTGCAACTGGCGCTTTACGACACACAAACATACACACCCCTGCCTGTATCACAAAGCAAAATCTCAAAAGGAAGCTGCAAACGTCTTGTGCTGACATGCTGAGGAGCGCAGGTACCGGTGAAAGCTCATCTGAAGCAACAGGCAGAATCTAGACGTGCCCAACTTGAGACTTCTCTTGGCTCAACTCTTAATACTGCTTATCTGGTCAGCCTATTTGGATACCAAAACAGGGGGAAGGGGGGGGGGAAGGAAAGGAAAGAATGGGAATTTTCTGCCTCTTTAGAAAAATACCCTCGCTTTCAGCTTTATAAAATAATATATATATACAGGTACATATATATATATTTAAGAAAAGCTCCAGTTAGAAAAAAGACAAGTGTATCAAAATATGGCGATGCTGTATGGCTGTGAATACAAAACCTCTCAAAAATATTTGTTCACGTGCTTTTTAAAAAAGGCATCGTGCTAAGAAACTTAAATCGTTTTGCTTCCCCCGCTCCCACAGAACGGCTGAAGGTCTTGGGACAATTTGAGAGAGGGGACAACCCAGACCCGTTTAATGAAAACATGTAATTCCGAGACGGCCATCCTCTGAACACCAGCCTCCTTCTCCTTGGAGAGTGGCGCAACTTTCCCAGAAGAATGGAGAAGCCGAGCGTCACCTTCTAAAGCTCTCGGCTCAAAGTTCAGGCTATGGGGAACACTGCTCAGCAACAGGCTATGGGGCTGCCCCCCCACCGAAATATGTTTGCTACTGCTCGGGTCATGAAGTCACGGCCAATTCCAGCTCTCTGGCAGTGCACATACCTTTGCGCTATTTTATTCCATGGAAGACTAATAAATATTGTACATCTTGCGTGGGGGTTTGGTTCCAAATGTTCTGCGTATGCACGGAAATCATATATGCCCAAACCCCTGGAGTCGCGTCTGCAGCTACCAGGTGTGTGCAAGTAAGGCTTAAAAGCTCCTTTTGTGCCGGGTAAATCACACGGATCCAGCGGGGGAATAAAGAGCTTTTAAGCTCTCTGCCTTAACTTGGGGATAAAGGCCAGCCAAGAACACTGGCTCTGGGAGGCTCACATGAAATCTCGCAGGAACCTAGATGGCCCTGCGAGATCTTGCACGAGCATCCCTGAGGCGGCACCCTCAGTAAGGCGGAGAATGTAGGAGCTCTTTAAAGATCTCTACCTTGTCTGGAGTTCAGTTGCGCGATGCCAACCGGTCTGCCTCCAATTGCGTATGGTCGAAATCGTGCAAGCTCAAAGCACGTAAGATGCAATCTTGCAGTAGCTGCACATAGGAGGTCCGGTCAAACATGTGTTTGCTGCCCACAATTGTTACTGTATTTGTAAAGTACCGTATTTTTTGCTCTGTAAGACTCACCTTTTCCCCTCCTAAAAAGTAAGGGGAAATGTGTGTGCGTCTTATGGAGCGAATGCAGGCTGCACAGCTATCCCAGAAGCCAGAACAGCAAGAGGGATTGCTGCTTTCACTGCGCAGCGATCCCTCTTGCTGTTCTGGCTTCTGAGATTCAGAATATTTTTTTTCTTGTTTTCCTCCTCCAAAAACTAGGTGCGTCTGGTGGTCTGGTGCGTCTTATAGAGCGAAAAATACGGCATTTGGCGTGTTTGTTTTATAAAGAGCTATGCTGAGTGGAGAGACCCTAAAGGTAAGGGGGCAAAACTGTTCTCCTAATGAGCCTGTGGTCAGAGGATGGCAGAGCCAGTGGAGGGATTTCCTGCAGAACAGGGTGGAAAACGGGGTTGTAGCAAGAAACGTGGAAGCAGCAATTGTCACTGCTGTTTCTACTGGATCATGATGGACTCTTTCCCCGTTCTCTGCCCCCCAAAAAGGGCTGGCAAGGGGAGCATCCCAGGATACACAGAAGACCCAGTTCAAAAAAAGAAAACAGCAAAGATATATTATGGGGTGTGAGGAAGAAGCCATGCTTACGTCGCAGCAACAACACCCCCCCTCCCTCGACAGCAAAAATAAAAGGGGAGCAAGTTTTCTTCCCTGTGTGTAAGTAGAGCTTATAAGATTGTCTATATATGTAACATGGGGTGTTTGGGAGGGTAGTTAACTTTTTCTACAAAAGGCATTTAAAACAGAAAAACAAAATGTAAAACAGGAGAGCTGCAAGTTCAAGCATACAATAAACAAATACTCCTCTCTATACTTATATACGCATTTTTTATATATAATCTCTCTCTCTTTCTCTCTCTCAAATTTAAGGTACTTTGGTCAGCAAACCTTATTGCTACATCCTGACAGATTATCTGTTCATGAGGTTGTTTCCACCTCAAATGAAAACGCTTCCAGCAGCTTTCAAAATCCCACTTTTCTGAACATCGGTTTTTAGGCCTGTTTTTTCCCTTCCCTTTTTTCTTTTGTAAACAACACAAAATATCAGATGGGAGCTGATGTCACTGCAGTCCTTTTCCTTTCGGTGGGGAAGAACGGGAAAATGGTGGCCCGACTGCATCGCGACACACTTGCCGCCCTCCCCCAGGCCTCTCGACCAACGGAGGACAAAGTCCCTTTGGTCAGTTATTGCTCACACCTGTGGTCTCGATGGCTTCCCGTTTGGGATGTGTGCATTTCTTTGGCTTGACACAGTGCAGGAAATAAAAAGGGTTTGGGGGGGGGAAGAAGACTACAGAGACCGATGTCCTCGCTTTCAGCATCGATGCCACGACGGCCGACCCGAAGAAAGCTGCAAAATGTGATGCAGGAAGAAGCCACGGCCACCTGAAGTGCGGAAGAAAGACGGCAGCTTGGCGTGAGGCAAATAAAATTAAAAAGCCAATCTTTGTGCATCGTGTTTTTCTTGTCAAAACGAGAGAACGCAACAAGTGCTCAAGGCTGGCCTTCCCTTTTCGGAGAACAGAAGACCGCCGTGTTTCCAGACATCGATTCGGAAAGAACCAGCCTTTGAGACAGGCACATTTTTGTCAAAGTGCAACACACAGTATCTGTGTAGTATCCGAGAAGAGATCTTGACGGGGAATATATATCTCTATATACCCCTGCTATGGCACCAGAAATAATCCAGGGAATCCGTGGTCCTCTTTCTTGGGTCAACCTCCCTCCCGAGTACCCAGCTCCGGAGGCCTTTCTGGAGATGCAGCGTCAGACGACAAACTCCGGGACTTCTTCGTGGGCGAGATCCAGAGAGAAGTACTTGCTGGTCCTCTTGACGGGGAAAGCGTCGTGAATGTTGATGCATTGCTGAGCTAAGCAGCCATTGCAGTAGAGGCCCTCTTCGGCCAGCCCGTGGCCACAGCCGAAGGTGTAGCTCTGGGCTGTCTCCTGGCAGAGGCTGGCCAGTCGCAGGAAGTCCTTTTGGTAGAGCCGGATGTCGTCCAGGCTCAGGCTGTGCCGGTCAGTGGAGGTCTTTGGCTTCCGGCAGGCCGTCTGCAGGAAACAGGAAACGATCATCTTTATTGTCATTGCCCCATACAGAACAATGAAATTGAAAAAAATCTACATCAGACCTTCAAAAACCAACAGGCCTGCTTAAGCCCCTAAAAACTCTGGTACCCCATAATTAAATACAATATGCTCCCACAGAGACTACCTTAAAGGTAAAGGGGCCCCTGACCATGAGGTCCAGTCGTGGCCGACTCTGGGGTTGCGGCACTCATCTCGCTTTACTGGCCGAGGGAGCTGGCGTACAGCTTCCGGGTCATGTGGCCAGGATAACTAAGCCACTTCTGGCGAACCAGAGCAGTGCACGGAAATGCAGTTTACCTTGCTGCTAGAGTGGTTCCTATTTATCTACTTGCACTTTGACGTGCTTTCGAACTGCTAGGTGGGCAGGAGCAGGGACCGAGCAACAGGAGCTCACCCCATTGTGGGGATTCGAACCGCTAACCTTCTGATTGGCAAGTCCTAGGCTCTGTGGTTTAACCCACAGCACCACCCCGCGTCCCAATAAAACTGATGATACCCCATCATTAAATACAATATACTCCCACAGAGACTACCTTACACTCCGTTTAAAACCAACATTGCATTTGGATAGAAACTGTTTATCAGGCGGCTAGTCCTAGTCTTTATTACCCTGTACCTTCTTCCAGAAGGCAGAAGCTGAAAGAGATCATTTCCGAGGTGCGCACTATCCTGCGCTATCTCAGCAGCTTTCTTATGGCACCTGGCAGCATACATTTGATCCAAGGTGGGAAGAGTGCACCCAATTGTTCTCTCCGCAGTCTTTACAACCCTGGACAGCGTTGTTTTTTCCCTGACCGTGCAGCTCCCAAACCACACACACAGACCATAAGTTAATACACTCTCCACAGTACAATGGTAAAATGCCATCAACAGGTCCTTTGAGAGATTGTTTTTCCGGAGGATTCTCAGAAAATATAACCATAGAAGGGTTTAAGGCAGAAGCGGTCAACCTTTTGGAGTCCACGGCTCCCTTGACCAACTACATTCTTCCTTGGCTCCCTTGTGGGGCTCAGGAGCCCAGTTATGCTACCCCTTGCCTGCAGAACTGGCAGCGCCTCACCCCTTTTCGAACACCCTCCCTTGTGGAGGCTTCCCTCAGCCTCCTCTCCTCTCCTTGGGAGTCCTCTGGGCAGCTGCCGCCACCGCCCCTGATCTCTGAGCATCCCCAAAGAGAGGTGCCTCCTCACACTGCCCCACAGAGGCCTGGGACTTGTCCGTCCATTCCCAACAGCAAGGGATGGCGGACTGGCTGGCTGGGCTCCCCCCCTCGCTTACTCTGAGTCTGCCTTAGCTGCTGGCAAGCAGCCGCCCCTGGCCAGCCCCAGAGGCACCATTCGCCTGCGGAGCTTGTAGCCAGGGCTTCTGCAACAAACAGCCCTGCAAGCCTCAAATACGAAAGTTTGGTTGTGCTTAGACTAACCTTGTGCAGAATATAGAGAACACAAAGATTTGATGGACTATGAAAGAACTCAAGGAAAGGGAGTGACTGAAGAACAGGTGTAAAGGTGAACTAGAAACTAAGAGACGTGTGGTGAACGCGGTGGAAGTCTTTTAGAATATTTTAACCAGGATATATATATACAGTGGTGCCTCGCAAGACGAAATTAATCCGTTCCGCGAGTCTCTTCGTCTTGCAGTTTTTTCGTCTTGCGAAGCACGGCTATTAGCGGCTATTAACGGCTTAGCGGCTTTAAGAAAAAGGAAACAAACTCACAAGAACTCGCAAGACGTTCCGTCTTGCGAAGCAAGCCCATAGGGAAATTCGTCTTGCGGAACGACTCAAAAAACGGAAAACCCTTTCGTCTACGGAGTTTTTCGTCTTGCGAGGCATTCGTCTTGCGGGGCACCACTGTATTGTAATGTTTGAAGTATAAATTTGGTATTATTGATTATGAAAAGTATTTTTTTCTTTTTTTCTTTTCTTTTAGCTTTCGTCTCTTTTCTTTTCTAGTCTGCATGTTGGAAAATACGTAGACAAACGAGTTTACAGTGTTATGTATTGATTTTTGTTTCTATTTCTTTTTATTTTCTTGTAATATTTAATAGAAACTAATAAAAAAATTTAAAAAACCCAACCAGCCCTGCAAGCCTTTGGGAAGAAGAGACGCAAGAGGGCATCAGAGGAGGGAGGGGAGGAAAGAGGCCAGTCTTGCCCACAGCACCCCTGACCGTCCTTCAAGGCACCCCAGGGTGCCACGGCACATGGGCTGAAAACCGCTGGCTTAAGGAAACACTAGGGCAGGCAAGTCCAGCTTTCAAGAGACTGAAATCTACTTCCGCTATTTAAAAAAACTGTGATCTACCAAAGCTGTTTTGGGGTGGGGGGAGGGTCCAGCGATCTACCACAGACACCCCGCGATCTACCAATAGATCACGATCTACCTGTTTGACATCCCTGCACTAGAGCAGGGGTAGGCAAACTAAGGCCTGGGGGCTGGATCCGGCCCAATCGCCTTCTCAATCCGGCCCCCGGATCAGCGTGTTTTTACATGAGTAGAATGTGTCCTTTTATTTAAAATGCATCTCTGGGTTATTTGTGGGGCCTGCCTGGTGTTTTTACAGGAGTAGAATGTGTGCTTTTATTTAAAATGCATCTGTGGGTTATTTGTGGGGCATAGGAATTCGTTCATTCCCCCACCCAAAAAATAAAGTCCGGCCCCCCACAAGGTCTGAGGGACAGTGGACCGGCCCCCTGCTGAAAAAGTTTGCTGACCCCTGCACTAGAGACTCCACAATTCTATGGTTTTATGGCCTCGGATGCAGAACTTTATGGACTCATGCAGAACTTACAAACCTGGGGCAATGAATCAATGCTTTGGCCACGAAGCTTGACCACGGTCTCCGAAGAGCTGGAAGTAGACGAACTGACTTCTTTGACGACTAATCCTGTGTTGGAAACAAGAAAGCAAAGAGCCGAGGTTCGTCATTATTCAAGGGCGGCCCAGTTCTTAACAGAACCGCTAAGCACCGCTTAGGGAACAGTACATCAGAAGCCTGCTTTTTAGCGTAATGGAAAAATCCGATTGCTTCGCCCCGTATCTGCCTGCTTTTTCAGAATGTGGGAATGGGCGAATGTGGCTCGAGAGACGGAACTGGTAATATATCCCCGAAAACCATTTTGTGCAGAGACGGTCCACATTCATCACGCCTTGGAACAAGAAGTGCCAATGTGATATTAGACCCCGTCCACTCTTTTATCATCCGATAGCTTTTTAAGACAAAACACAATTTCAGTTTCAGGGTATTGATTAAACTGACTGTAGCCATTACAGTTCAAATGGATGGCGAGATTATGTAGCTCTTGCTTATTACTTATTTTTCCTGGGAAATCTCAACTCGGCACGGATTGTTTATTTATCCCTGTTTAATGAATTTTGCTGTGCGGTGCACTATGTTCAGATTCCTGCACTGCCGGGGGGCGGGGTTGGACTAGATGACCCCTAGTACCCCCTTCCAACTTTGCAATTCTACGATTCTCCTTTGAGCATGGCATAGCCAGATATAACCTTACCTGTGTATTATTTCTTCGATAGCTTGGCAGGGATTCTCAGAAGAAATCAAAGATGTTCATTTGATTTCTGAGGGATAGCTCAGTCGGTAGAGAGTGAGACCCTTAATCTCAGGGCCGTGGGTTTGAGTCTCACGTGGGGAGAAAGATTTCTGCATTGCAGGGGCTTGGACTGCGGTCCCTTTCCAAATCTACAAATATGTGATTCTGTGATATTTAGGAATGTAGGAAACTCTCTAATACCAAGACAGATTCTTGGTCCATCTAGCTCAGTGTTCTGTTTTCGGCAAACACACGTGGCCGAGTAAGATTGTCTTCCACGAACACGGTTTTAGCAATGAGTCCGTAAGTGACTGTGGAGGCCAATTCTGGACCCACAAGTCCTTCCACAGTGGGGACATGGGTTTCCTGGCAGGAGTTGATCACGGCGAGGCTATTGCCAAACGCTCAGCATTACCCACACTGACTGGCAGCAGCTCCCCTGGGCTTTATTTATTTATTTTCATTTATTTTAAATTGATTTTCCAAATTTATAAACAAACAACACACATAAATCTTAACTGTAATTATTCCACTATTATTAACATTGTTAGGTGACTTCCTCAAATCCCCCTGGCTGAATTTCAATGTATATCATTGTAACAGTTTTCCAAGACTAATTTCTCATAAAATTTACTTAGTCAATTAACTTCTTTTCATATAAACTTTAAACATATTATTATATAAAATCACATATTTAAATCCTAAGCCAATCTGGTATTTGCAAGTATTTCTATTTAAATTATCTTAGCATATTTAACTAAATATTCTTTAAATTTCATCCTCCCTGGGCTTTAGGGGCAGGAAGCATTTCCCAGTGCCACCTGAATATGTTCTGAAGAAGGAGCTGATTTAAACAGGAAGCTGCCTTATTTTGAGTCACGACTCTCTGGGGTTTGCAGCCACGAGTCTTTTCTGGAGACGCTGCCGGGCAGGGATCGATTCTGAGATTTAGCCGAGATTCCTGCCCTTCCAACTCTATGATTCCACAAACACTAGACTTTCTGTGTGCAAAGCGGACACTCTACTGCCAAGGGCCTTCTGGCGGTTCCCTCGCTGCGAGAAGCCAAGTTACAGGGAACCAGGCAGAGGGCCTTCTCGGTGGTGGCCCCTGCCCTGTGGAACGCCCTCCCACCAGATGTCAAAGAGAAAAATAACTACCAAACTTTTAGCTGACATCTGAAGGCAGCCCTGTCTAGGGAAGCTTTTAATGTTTAATAAAAAGATAAAAGTAAAGGGACCCCTGACCATTAGGTCCAGTCGTGACCGACTCTGGGGTTGCGATGCTCATCTCGCTTTATTGGCTGAGGGAGCCGGCGTACAGCTTCTGGGTCATGTGGCCAGCATGACTAAGCCGCTTCTGGCAAACCAGAGCAGCACACGGAAACGCCGTTTACCTTCCCGCCGGAGCGGTACCTATTTATCTACTTGCACTGGTGTGCTTTCGAACTGCTAGGTTGGCAGGAGCAGGGACCGAGTAACGGGAGCTCACCCCATCGAGGGGATTCGAACCGCCGACCTTCTGATTGGCAAGTCCTAGGCTCTGTGGTTTAACCCACAGCGCCACCCGCATCCCTTTTTAATGTTTAATAGATTATTGTAAAGGTCCGTATAGTTAAAGCCATGGTTTTCCCAGTAGTGATGTATGGAAGTGAGAGCTGGACCATAAAGAAGGCTGATCGCCGAAGAATTGATGCTTTTGAATTATGGTGCTGGAGGAGACTCTTGAGAGTCCCATGGACTGCAAGAAGATCAAACGCATCCATTCTTAAGGAAATCAGCCCTGAGTGCTCACTGGAAGGACAGATCGTGAAGCTGAGGCTCCAGTACTTTGGCCACCTCATGAGAAGAGAAGACTCCCTGGAAAAGACCCTGATGTTGGGAAAGATGGAGGGCACAAGGAGAAGGGGGCGACAGAGGACGAGATGGTTGGATAGCGTTTTTGAGGTTACCAGCATGAGTTTGACCAAACTGCGGGAGGTAGTGGAGGACAGAGGTGCCTGGCGTGCTCTGGTCCATGGGGTCACGAAGAGTCGGACACGACTAAACGACTAAACAACAACAACAAGATTATTGTATTTTAATATTCTGTTGGAAGCCGCCCAGAGTGGCTGGGGAAACCCAGCCAGATGGGCAGGGTATAAATAATAAATTGTTGTTGTTGTTATTAATTCCTTCCCTGCTTATGCCGAGCTCCTGGGAGGTTTACCTGAGTGCCCGTTGAACTTCCTGGCCATGAGCATGTCTTCGGTGATGTAAATGCAGACGTCGGGACTCACGTCATCCAGGGACCTTTCACTCGTGGGCTCGAGGTCTCGGGGGTCATCGACCAGCATCTCTATTTCTGAACCAAAGATGGAGGGGGTGAGATGGGAGTAGGGAAGGGTAGCTGCAGTACGGGGAAGAGCACTGAGGACACAGCAGAACATCGTCTCATCCCTCATGCAGAGATTTGGGATTCCCCCATCCAGGATTTACGTACAGTGGATGTTCGGGTTGTGAGCATGATCTATGTGGGATGCACGTTTGCAACCTGCAACGTTCGCAACCCGCATCTGCGCAGGTGCGGGTTGCGATTCAGCGCTTCTGGACATGCGCAAAGCATGATTTAGCGCTTCTGCACATGCGCGACTGCCGAAACCTGGAAGTAACCCGTTCCGGTACTTCCGGGTTTCGGTGGTCCGTAACCCGAAAAAATGCAACCTGAAATGGCTGTAACCTGAGGTATGACTGTATAAGCTAAACAAGCTATAGTTTAGGGCCCCACTCTCTTGGGGCCCCCCCCCAAAAAAAAATTAAAGGAAAAAACACCTGGGTGTACATTTCCAAACTATAAGATAAAAAACAAATAAAATAAAACCTACATACAGCAACCGTGTTTTGTGTTGTGTCGGCTCCTATGATGTAAGTCACGGGCCCCGCCTGCTAGCCTGCTCCCTCAAATATCACTGGTTTGCTCCTTTCTATATATAGGGTGCCTACATTCTGCATGGACTGCTTGCATGGCAACATGTGCAAATGGCTTTAATTACTTGTTAGGTCTATAAATTAACGTATAGCATATATTCAACACAGAAAACAGTGACAATCTGTTGTTGACAGCTGGACATATAAAGGGCCTTCAGTAGCTGAGGGCCACACTGAACCTAAATTCGGCCCTGCCCATCCTCATACGCGTGGGCTTTGGAAAAGTAAAGACATTTTCATTGCACCGTGTTTGCAGGCGCCTTCCATCAGCTTCGGCTGGTGGCCCAGCTAAGCCCCTATCTGGACAGGGATAGCCTAACTACTGTTGTCTATGCTCTGGTAACCTCAAGGTTAGATTACTGCAATGCATTCCATGTAGGGCTGCCTCTGAAGACGGTTCGGAAACTTCAGCTGGTGCAGAATTCAGCGGCCAGGTTGCTCACCGGAGCAAGACGGTTTGAGCATATTACACCGATCCTGGTCCGACTGCACTGGCTACCAATTCGTCTCCAGGCCCAATTCAAAGTGCTGGTTTTGACCTATAAAGTCTTAAACGGCTCAGGACCCCAATACCTCCAGGACCGCCTCTTTCCATATGAACCTGCCAGGACCTGAGGTCATCATCTGAGGCCCTTCTTTGTATGCTCCCTCCTCTAGCGGTCTGGAGGGTGGCAACACAAGAACGGGGCCTTCTCTGCAGTGGCTCCCCGTCTGCGGAATGCTCTCCCCAGGAAAGTCCGCCTGGCACATTCATTATATACCTTTAGGCGCCAGGCAAAAACTTTTTAACCAGGCCTTTGGGTGAGCTGATTTACATCCTATGCCCTACGTGCTTTTTTGTGGGGGTTCGTCTGAGCGAACTACAGCGTGGAAATATAACCAGCCCATCCGTCCCCACATGCTTGGCGCTGGGCTTACCGTCATCCTGGGAGGAGTCTTCTTCCTCCAGCCGCTCCTTCTCGCTGCTCTCCACGCCCGAAGTGTGGGAGCTGCCGTGGCTGGTCAGGGAGCTGCAGGCCCTCAGTTTGTGGTGGGCCGCGGACAGCAGGAAGTCCTCCTCGCCTCCCTGCTCGCCCCTGGGCTTGGGGTCAGCCTCGATTCCCGACGTGTGCGAGCTGCTGTGGCTGGCGGTCGAGAGGCGGGAGAGGCACTTGTGCTTCATGCTCCCGGAGCTGCTGCCGCTCGCGCGGGAACGCTTCTCCATCTGGTCCATCTCCAGGTCGCTGATATAGGACTCGCGGTACTGTTTCTTCTCTGGGGAGCAAAGCCGGGGAGAGTCAGGGGAGAGACACGGCACCACACCCCTCTCTTTCTCCAGCTTCCAGTTGGGTTATCAATTGGAATCAATTTGATTCCCTGCTGCAATGGTACCTGTTTATCTACTTGCACTGGCGTGCTTTCACACTGCTAAGGACTTCCCTGGCTTTTTTCTGGCCCATGTAGGACCAGTCTGGAAAGTTAGCCTTGTCGTTTTCATCCCCAAAAAGTTTTTGATTTGAGTTTCCATTGAAATGAGGCTGTATTTTAAATGTTTTAATGTTGTATTTTAATCTTGTTTTTAAGCTGTATTTCAATCAATTGTTTTGATATTTGGTGTTAGCCCCCCTGAGCCCGGTCTTGGTTAGGGAGGGCAGGGTATAAATAAAAATTATTATTATTATTATTATTATTATTATTATTATTATTATTAATTATTATTATTAAGTTGGCAGGAGCTGGGACAGAGCAATGGGAGCTCACAGTATTGCGGGGATTCAAACCGCCAACCTTCTGATGGCAAGCCCAAGAGGCTCAGGAGTTTAGACCACAGCGCCACCTGAGTCCCTTTACTTTTTACCTTTATTTCCCTTTACAACTCAACCAAGCCCCCCCCATAATCTCACAGCTCCTCCATGTCCCCCCATCCCTAGAAAAGAGGGTCACAGCAGCTTCCGTTCTCACAGCTGCACTTTAAAACTCAGTAGACCTGTTCAGCTTCCTGTTCTCCTGGTTGCTCATAACCTTGTGGACTAGAACCCTGGGCAGGCGAGAGACACAGACCGAAGCAAGGAAGAGCCGAGACAGGGCCGCTCCTACCTTCGCTCTCCTCCAGCTTCCTGATCTGCCGCAATACGGGCTGCAGGTTCATGTAGAGGCGGTGGCTGTTGCTCAGGAGCTGCAGGAGGTGCCGCGAGCGCAAGGGGCAGGCGGTGTAGTAGGTGAGCTTGCGGGCAGAGGGCAAGCCATCGGGCAGGATCTCAAACCTCTTGCCCTGCGGAGAGAAAGGAGCGCATTCAGGAGTCAGCTGGGGCCTGGAGACCGGACGCTGCTGTGAGATTCAGGATGCAAAAGCGAAAGCACTTCTGTACGCAGCGCAGAACTGTGGAACTCCCTCCTGCATCGATATCCCCCAACTTGGACTTGACTATTTGAAGAACTGCTGTAGACAAATGAAAACGCGGGCAGCGTCCGAATTATGAGCAGTGGAACGAAAACGATGAGGCAGAGGGCCTTCTCGGTGGTGGCGCCCGCCCTGTGGAACGCCCTCCCACCAGATGTCAAGGAAATAAACAACTACCTGAGTTTTAGAAGACATCTGAAGGCAACCCTGTTTAGGGAGGTTTTTAATGACCGATGTTTTAATGTATTTTTAAATATTTTGTTGGAAGCCTCCCAGAATGGCTGGGGAAACCCAGTCAGATGTGCAGGGTATGTATGTATGTATGTATGTATGTATAAATAAATAAATAAATACATTATTATTATTGAGGTTAATTTGTATTAGATTAAAGTATGTCATATAAAACAGTAGGTATAAGGTGGAATAAAAACACCATGGAAGTAAGGGTGGGAAGTCAAAAATTTTAAGAAAAACATATACAGTTGTACCTTGGAAGTCGAACGGAATCCGTTCCGGAAGTCTGTTCAACATCCAAAACATTCAGAAACCAAAGCACCGCTTCTGATTGGCTGCAGAAAACTCCTGCAGCCAATAGGAAGCCGCGCTGGACATTGGGCTTCCGAAAATCGTTCGAAAACCTGAACACTCACTTCCGGTTTTCGATTGTTCAGGAGCCGAAATGTACGAGTTCCAAGGCATTCAGCAACCAAGGTACGACTGTATTGAAATATAAGTAAATTTGTAAAACCTGTGAAAATCAATAAAAAATTATGTCTTAAAAAAAAAAGAGGATTAGACAAATTTGTGGAGGAGAGGGCTGCCGATGGCTACAGATGAACTAAGCTACAGAATGACAGAAAAATGTACCGGTACTTTTTTTGCTCCACCCACTCTTCCTGCTGGCCCTGCCTCCTGCTGGGATGTGGCCCTTAGATGCCTTTTCAGAGAGGAATGTGGCCCTCGGGGGGAAGGGTCCTTGTGGCACCTGCTTTTTGGGAGACACTGCTGAGAGAGACTCTGCAAGTAACCTGCTCTTCCGCAGCCTTTGAAGGCCAATTCAGTCTTCCAAGGAAGACTTTTATCAGCTGCCTGCCTCAGTGGAGCTGACTTGGGGTTTTTTTTTAACACTTTTGGCTGCTCAGTTTTATTTGTTGCCGCTTTATTATTCTGTAAGTATTTTATCGCAAGCAGCTTTGAGAGGGTTTTTATTTCTTGCCAGGAAGCGGAGCTCGTAAAAGAACGAAACAAAAAATAGAAGCGCCGGCTTTGGATGTGCGAGGCCCCAAATCAAACTGATGCAGAGCTTGCTAGCGGGGTTGAATCTTTAAAAAAGCAAGTCAGCCTCTCTAAGGTGCTGCCTTGAAATTATCTTTATTTGTTAAAGGTGGCTTCGGAGCAGTTTACCAAAGACTGCAAGACACTGTTAAAGTCGCAGGGATTTGAACCGGCAACCTTCTGATCGGCAAGCCCTGGGCTCTGTGGTTTAACCCACAGCGCCACCCATCACCCTGGGTAGCTTCCAGCAAAGTATTCAAATACAAAATCCTCAAATGTTAAAAACCTCCTTGTACCTCTTGAAGGAGCGTAATCCTTGAACATAAAAAAGGTAAAGGACCCCTGGACGGTTAAGTCCAGTCAAAGGCGTCTATGGGGTTGCGGCGCTCATCTCTCTTTCAGGCCGAGGGAGCTGGTGTTTGTCCACAGACAGCTTTCCGGGTCATGTGGCCAACAGGACTAAACTGCTTCTGGCACAACGGGACACCGTGACGGAAACCAAAGCGCCTGGAAACACCGTTCACCTTCCCGCTGCAGTGGTACCTATTTATCTACTTGTGCTGGTGTGCTTTCGAACTGCTAGGTTGGCAGAAGCTGGGACAGAGCAACGGGAGCTCACCCCGTTGCGGGGATTCGAACCACCGACCTTCTGATCGGCAAGCCCAAGAGGCTCAGTGGTTTAGACCACAGCACCATCCGTGTCCCTTGCACATAACCATGTGCCGTTTAGAGAAATGCTTTCTTTTGTATTTTCTTCACATTATACTCTCCGGTTGCGTCCCCGCTTTACTTATCTTCCCCCCTGGCCAAACTAAACCTTTCCAAAAAAATATGTTAGCTTGCCTCACCATCCTTCCCCCTTGACCCTTTTCGTACAATCTCCATTTTGAGGTGAAGCAACCAGAAATTACCCCAAGCGTGCGCCCCAAGAAAACCCGTTGTGCAAATCTGTGCCACAGGCAGAATATTTGCGAGGAATTGAGCAGCGAAGCTGACTTTGGTATCTCCCTACTCACCACAAACACAAGTTTCCCCACATTCGTCCAAGGGAAGTCGTAAAGCAACTGTCTTTCGCTGTTTACATTCTGGGAAGGAAGAAAAGGGGGCGGGGAGAGAGACAACGGCCATTATATTTATTACCTGCTCTTTTCTAGCATGCCTCATGATGGGTTACGGCAATGTAAAACTAAAAAACAGTTAAAGCAAATTACAATCACAGGAACAGGCCCTGAAAACACACGTCTCAGGCTCCAGGGATGTGTCTTCAGCGTGCAATGAAAGACGCACCTCCGTGGGGAGGAATTTCCGCAGGTTAGGGGCCACCACACAGAAGACCCTCTCCTGGTCTGCCGCCATCATGGCTGTGAACTTCTGAGGGAGGTGGGGCTACCGAGAGACCCCTCTGATGATTTTAACAGCCAAGGGGGTCTGTAGGGAAGGGGTTTTTCCAGCTATTTGGGGCCTAAGTTGCTCAGGGGTTTGAAGACAGGCATGAGCATCTTGAACTGGGTGCAGAAATGAACTGGCAGCCATGATAAAGGTAAAGGGACCCCTGACCATTAGGTCCAGTCGTGGCCGACTCTGGGGTTGCGACGCTCATCTCGCTTTATTGGCCGAGGGAGCCGGCGTACAGCTTCCGGGTCATGTGGCCAGCATGACTAAGCCACTTCTGGAGAACCAGAGCAGCGCATGGAAACACCGTTTACCTTCCCGCCAGAGTGGTACCTATTTATCTACTTGCACTTTGACATGCTTTCGAACTGCTAGGTTGGCAGGAATCATAGAATCATAGAGTTGGAATAGACCACAAGGGCCACCGAGTCCAACCCCCTGCCAAGCAGGAAACAGGAGCAGGGACCGAGCAACAGGGTTGCGGGGATTCGAACCGCCGACCTTCTGATCAGCAAGTCCTAGGCTCTGTGGTTTAACCCACAGCGCCACCCGCGTCCCGGCAGCCACGATAGCTGAATATATTTATCATTTGCAGAATTTTACAATATAAAATGGGAGGTTCAAGGCAGGCAGCCAAGTAGGAGAATGTATTGCAAAGTGTGTGTGTGTGTGTGTGTGTGTGTGTGTGTGTGTTTTATCCCATGGGATCAGAAATGTCGGTGATCTTTTTTTCCTAAAAAGGTACATCTTTTCTAAAAAAAGGTACATCTGTGCACATCTTAGGTTTCAGAAAACTCTCCCCATCTCTTTCTGCAGCTCTGCCCTCCAAAACCTGGACTCCCCAGCATGAAGACGAGTTACCTGCTTCCAGGCAAGCCTCAAAAGTCAGAAGGACTGTGAATCATCATCCCTCCCCCCGCCCCTCCGGAAATCCAAATCCCAGATTCCATGCAGAGTTTACCCTGCTGAAAGTGAGCCGGCTTATGTCTGGGAAAACAAGAAGCCATCTCAATGGTATGTAATGTTTTGGAGGCGCGTACCTGGAATATCTGGATGCCTCGAGTGGTCAGCCCTAGAGTGAGGGAGGCCTCGATTTCCTTCTTGTCCTGCGAGAAAAAGATGACAATGACTCTTTTTGCCCTTTTACAAAGCCCTCACCTCGCACACACAATTCGAACGGCTGTTTTACTTGGGAAAAGGAGCATTCAGACACGGAGAAAAAAGAGGCCCCCCCCCAGTTCTTCAGAGCAAGGTTGTGTGTGGACTAACAGAGCATCCTTCCCCAACCCGGCGCCCTCCAGATGTTTCGGACTACAACTCCCATCAGAACCAGCTAGCACACGGCCACACCTCGCTGGCTTCCCTCACAATCCCGTTCCAAATTCTAGCTATGTTGACATGAGCCAAGAGTGTGACGTGGCAGCTAAAAAAGCCAATGCAATTCTGGGCTTCATCAATAGGAGTATAGCATCTAGATCGAGGGAAGTAATAGTGCCACTGTATTCTGCTCTGGTCAGACCTCACCTGGAGTACTGTGTCCAGTTCTGGGCACCACAGTTCAAGAAGGACACTGACAAACTGGAACGTGTCCAGAGGAGGGCAACCAAAATGGTCAAAGGCCTGGAAACGATGCCTTATGAGGAACGGCTAAGGGAGCTGGGCATGTTTAGCCTGGAGAAGAGGAGGTTAAGGGGGGATATGATAGCCATGTTCAAATATATAAAAGGATGTCATATAGAGGAGGGAGAAAGGTTGTTTTCTGCTGCTCCAGAGAAGCGGACACGGAGCAATGGATCCAAACTACAAGAAAGAAGATTCCACCTAAACATTAGGAAGAACTTCCTGACAGTAAGAGCTGTTCGACAGTGGAATTTGCTGCCAAGGAGTGTGGTGGAGTCTCCTTCTTTGGAGGTCTTTAAGCAGAGGCTTGACAACCATATGTCAGGAGTGCTCTGATGGTGTTTCCTGCTTGGCAGGGGGTTGGACTCGATGGCCCTTGTGGTCTCTTCCAACTCTATGATTCTATGATTCTATCACTGGTTACTTATGAAGCCCTGAAGGATCTGGGGCCGTAAATCCTCAAAGAAGCACCTCTCCACTACCCAGCTGTGCTCGCTGGGGGTTATGGGAATTGTAGTTCAAAACATCTGGAAGGCATCAGGTTAGCCAAGGGTGCCCTCTATTGTCCAGTGCCTGGATATGACGATTGGTCTGGGAGACGTTTGCTTGCTGCTAGCGCCCCAGCTTTTCACAGAAACACAGAACCGCAGGGTTGGAAAGGACCCCTAATCCTCTAGCACGACGCCCTGTGATTTTGCAGCACCCCTCGCTCTGAAATGCAGCTGTCCTCCAGAAGCGAGGTCTAAAGCCTGGTGGCCAGGCCGAATAATGGCCTCCGTCATCAGACCTTACAACTTATCTTTACAGCTGTTTCTGAAGAGTGCCGTCGCAAACACACACTGTTGCAGTTTCTCAGCGAGCCATGTGAAAATGCAGCACTAAATTTTCCCGAGGTTATTCTTATTATTGTTACAGTGGTACCTCTGGTTGTGAACAGGATCCGTTCCGGAGCCCCATTCGCAACATGAGCAGAACGCAACCCGCGTCTGCGCATGCGCGGTTGCGATTCACCGCTTCTGAGCATGCCATCATTTTGAGCGACTGCGCATGCGCAAGCGGCGAAACCTGGAAGTAACCCTTTCCGGTACCGCAGGACACAACTTGAACTGTATTATTTTAATTATTATTAGAGTTGATATAACACCCTATACCTGGTGGTCTCAGGGTGGTTCACAGAAAAGATCACAGCATATATAAGCAAAATAAAAACAACAACCCAATTAACCCCCCCCCCCAAGAAAAGGGCCACATTTTAAAAGAGTATAGGATTTCAAACAGATCAACCAAAGGCCTGTTTAAAAAGGAAACTTTTAATGGTGTGTAATGAAGGTGCCAGGCAAATTTCCCCGGGGAGAGAATCCTACAGACGGGGAGCCACTGCAGAGAAGGCCCCGTTCTCGTGTTGCCACCCTCCGGACCTCTAGAGGAGGCAGCACACGAAGGAGGGCCTCAGGAGATGATCTCAGGGTCCGGGTAGGTTCATATAGAAAGAGGCGGTCCTGGAGGTATTGCGGTCCTGAGCCATTTAAGGCTTTATAGGTCAAAACCTATTGTTTTGGGGCCAGGAGGAGGAGAGAGAATAATGACCAGGGACACGAAATTCTTTCCGCCTTCCCAAATGGAGGACACAAACTGATCAGCGGCTCTTGCCTTGCCTAACAGGACCCGTTCGCCTCTGCCTCCCCCGTACCTTATACAATCTATAATAATGCACAGCCACGTCATCGAGACGGACAGCTTCCTTGATGTACTTCAGATGGGCCTCGGAGGCCGTCAGGGCGCACTGGTCCTTGTGCATGATGGGAATGTGCTTCAAGATGTAGTCCTTCCCTCTCTTTGCCACCACCTGCCGAGAGAGAGAGAGAGAAGGGGCGCTGGGTGTTAATTGCGCCTGGCTGGGAATGTCAGGTTTGCTAGGCGAAATAACAGTGGACCAGAGACGACTTGACACAGCCTTCCCAAATCCCAGTGGCCTCCAGTTGCTTCCAACTGGAGCAAGCCTGCAAGTTATGCAGGGGTTACGTTCTGGGGATGCCACCTAAAGCCAAAACAGCACAGACTCAAAACATATGGCAAGCGGGACTGCCAAAGTCATTCCCCCCAGAACCTTCACCCTTTCCATATTCTTTTTCCTGCCACGTGTGTCAAGCTAAATTGAAATACTTTATTGTCATACTTTATTATCACTTGTACAACTTGTGAGATTACATGAGCCCCCCCCAGCTCTCTTAGTCTTAATTCCCCTTGTTTACTGACAGTTGCCTTGTTGTTATCTTTTCCTTCAGCAGCCTAACAGCCCATGGATAGAAGCTGTTCTTTACCCTGTTGGCACGACTAATCATGCTTCTATATCTTCTGCCCCAGGGCAGGAGATCAAGAAAGTGCCGGCCATTGTGTGAATCATCCCTGAGAATTTTCCTCTCTCTCCTGAGGCAACCTTCTTCCGCTATTTCATCCAGCGGATTCATGGGACAGCCCATAATATCTTGTGCTGTATTCCCCACCCTCTGTAGGCACATTCTATCAGTTGATGTCAAACCAGCGGACCACACTGTGATGCAGTATGAAAGGACACTTTCTATTGTGAACCGGTAGAAGGAGATCATCAAATGTTGACATTGTTCTTCTGCAATACTCTGAGGAGATGGAGTCTCTGTTGGGCTTTCTTAACCACCTGGGTTGTATTGATTTTCCAAGTAAGGTCTTCACTGAGATAAATGCGCACAAGTTAAATGCGTGCACTTGCAGGCTTACTGTACGACCCCAGCCAACGTCTCTGACAGCCAGGAATTATGGGAGGTGTAGTTCAGCACCACCCAGGGGGCTGGAGGCCCTCAACTTAGGGAGCACCTCTTCCCAAAGGTTCTTCTCCTTTCCTTTAAAAGAGCAGCTGAAGTCTTCTCCACCATACCTCCCTTTTTCTAAAGTCACAAATATGAGCGTCTGCAGCAAGGCTTTCAGCGTGTAAATAAATGTTTGCAATTCTCAAACATTTTTTGGGGAAGCAAGCGGCTTTATTTATTTATCGCATGGTTTTGGCTGGTTAAAACTGCACAAGTTACAGTGGTGCCCCACAAGACGAATGCCTCGCAAGACGAAAAACCCGCTAGACGAAAGGGTTTTCTGTTTTTCGATGCGCTTTGCAAGACGAATTTCCCTATGGGCTTGCTTCGCAAGACGAAAACGTCTTGCAAGTCTTGCGATTTTTTTTGCTCCCCCCCTTTTCTAAGCCGCTAAGCCGCTAATAGCCTTTTAGCCGCTAAGCCTTTAATAGCCGCTAAGCCGCTAATAGGGTTGCTTCGCAAGACGAAAAAAACGCTAGACGAAGAGAATCGCGGAACGGATTATTTTCGTCTTGCGAGGCACCACTGTAAATGCACGCAAGGTTTTTTTCCACCAGTATGGAAAGAGCTTATCTACCTTGCTTGCTGTGCAAAGCCCTCTCAGCGTGCCGGCTCTGGAAGAATGGGCACGGTCGCACGAGATCTTGCAAGAGCGTCCCGGAGATGGTGCGCTGAGCAAGCCGTACCAGGTGAGCAAGACAGAGAGCAAAAAGGATGGCTTTAAAGATTTCTTCCTTGCTTTTGGGCAAGGCCCACTCAGCACGCCAGCTCCAGAAGGGCAAGTATCCTTGTGAAGGGACAGTTCAAGTATGTGGGGGACTCCCTGGTCCTGAATGGGGCAACTGTGCCCCTGAAGGATCAGGTGTGCAGCCTGGGAGTCATTTTGGACTCACAGCTGTCCATGGAGGTGCAGGTTAATTCTGTGTCCAGGGTGGCTGTCTTCCAACTCCACCGGATACGCAGGCTGAGACCCTACCTGCCCGCGGACTGTCTTGCCAGAGTGGTGCATGCTCTAGTTATCTCCCGCTTGGACTACTGCAATGCGCTCTACGTGGGGCTACCTTTGAAGGTGACCTGGAAACAGCAATTAATCCAGAATGCGGCAGCTAGACTGGTGACTGGGAGTGGCCGCCGGGACCACCTAACACCGGTCCTGAAAAACCTATATTGGCTCCCAGTATGTTTCCGAGCACAATTCAAAGTGTTGGTGCTGACCTTTAAAGCCCTAAACGGCCTCGGTCCTGTATACCTGAAGGAGCGTCTCCACCCCCATCGTTCAGCCCGGACACTGAGATCCAGCACCGAGGGCCTTCTGGCAGTTCCCTCATTGCGAGAAGTGAGGTTACAGGGAATGAGACAGAGGGCCTTCTTGGCAGTGGCACCCGCCCTGTGGAACGCCCTCCCTTCAGATGTGAAGGAAATAAGCAGCTATCTTCTTTTTAAAAGACATCGGAAGGCAGCCCTGTTTAGGGAAGTTTTTAATATTTAATGCTGTATTGTTTTTAACACTTGATTGGAAGCCACCCAGAGTGGCTGGGGAAATAATAATAATAATAATAATAATAATAATAATAATAATAATAATAATGTGCCTTCTTGTGTACATGTGGGACCCCTGGAACCAAACCCCCACGTAAGATGCCATTGTACTGTACTGCCTTTTATTCAGGGGCTGGGGAATGACAAGGCTGTTTATGCAACCCGGAGCATGCATTACCTAAAATGCAGAATTTGGGTTCTGGGGTATGTGCGTGCAACAGAACACTTACATGTTTATATTCCTCCTGTTCTTTGGAGACTGAAGGTGCAGAGGGTGGGTTTTTTTGCCGAGAGTCATTTTAGACTCTGGAATGTGTTTTCATTTCAGAACGCCTGTCTCATCCCAGCGGTTGTGTCTGCTATCTGAAGTCTGAGCTGTTGCTCCCCCCCTTAATGCAGAGGAGATGCTAAACACTCCTGGGTGCTTAAAATGGAAATAGTGAGTCAACCTTGCTGCAAGCGTGTAATCCTCTTAGCCGACACGTTTGCAGTGAGGGCTGGCTTGGGAGTCGGATGAACTTGAAGCCTGAGATGGGTCAGTCAAACCCACCAAGCCCTTATCCCAGCGCTGTGTCCCGCTGCTGTCCCTTACAGATGATGTCCCTTAAATTTCCCAGGTTTCAAAGAAAGCAGCTCCTCTCCCTCCCTCCCTGCCGGCCAGGGAGGGGGGAGGCTCCAACTGTGTTGCTTGGCTGCGTTGCTCACCCAATAAGGAGTCTAAGAACGACTGGGGGGTGGAGCTTGCATGCCTTGTGCTGATCAAATCGGCCGCGTTGCCTGGGGACTCGCCTTTGCTCAGCGCTTCCCAGCGGAGAGGGGACGGCGGTTTCCCTTGCTGCATCCCCTTTGCCGGGTTGCTGCGCTGTGGGAACCACCGCTTGAGGCTTCGTTTGGCTGCTGGCTGGGCTTTCTGCCTTTGGCTCGGAGGGGCTCAGAAGTTGAACATACCTGTGCTTGGGAAATCCCTTATTTTGGCTGCTGATCCCTTATTTTCGAGGCTGCTGGTCCCTTATTTTCAAATCTGTAAGTTGACAGCTATGGTATTAGCGCTCTCCTCCAAGGGGAAAGCCAAAACAGACAGTGCCGCCAGATTTCTGCAAAAGGCAACTCGATCCCAGCCAAGCTGGAAAGCCCCACGGCTTCAGAATATTTTCCGGCTGACAGATGCACCCGCCCACAAACCCCTCGTGCCGTCTGGAACGGCTCGGAGGACGGGTGGCCTTCAGAGCTATGGCAACACAGCTTGTGTTTAGGCACCGGGAAGGGAGATGAAGGGGGAGAGAGGGAGAGAGCCTGGGCTCGAAGGAAGAGGGTCTCCTACCCAGGCGGGGAAGTAGGCTTCGGGTTCAAAGTATTTCCCGTAGTGCTTGTTCCTTTTGAAGTTGCCCAGGTCGGCTTGCAGGGCGAAGGCTGCCAGCAGGAAATAGGCCTCCTCGCGAAGGAGGCTCTGCGAGCGGAGGACTTGCTTCCTCAGGTGCCAGTAATAATAGTAGCGGGCGGTTCGGTCGCTGGAAGGAGAGGGAGAGAAAGGAAGAGGGATGTAAACGAAGAACGGCAGGGGGAAAACGGACGGGCAGAAACCATGGATGTCTTTCACTGGGGTTGGTTGCTTCCTCCTTGTAAACTTATTATTATTATTATTATAATTTTTTTATTAGTATTTTCCAAACAACACCAAGAAATATATCGAAAAATAACAATACACAAAAGACAAAAACCGACGTTAAAAAAACAAAAAACAAATCTACATCATACAAGTTAATAATATAAATACTAAACAGAAAACAACAACAATGGACATGCAACTGTTTTATCAATAAGAACTCAGATTGAGCAGCTTTTAAAATAAATAAATTGTGGGCCACCACAGGGCTCACTTTTTCTTCCATGTGGCTCTTTGCCACAAAGGCTTTCGGCAACAATTTTCCTCTGCTCCCCCCACCTCGCAAAAGCCCCCTTTCCCCTTTACCTGATCAGCCGGCCGTTTTCCACGTAATACTGGACTCGGAAGTGAATGATCATGGGGGGCCCAAACTGGTCTATACCCTGCAACCAAAGGCAAAAATAAAGGATCAGCCTTGAGGCAGGGAGGGAGAAGGACCCCCCCCTCCAGAAGACATCTTCTCCCAACCCCCTAAAAATACTGAGCCCCAGCAGGAGCAGCGTGTTAATGCTGGGATGCATTTGGCGAAGGAGCCATTGTCACCTCGGCAGCAATGGGAGACCCAAAGGTCCTGGAGCGATCTGGCTTTTTGCAAAAACGGTTTGCACCACCAGCTACACTGCCGGTAACCTGAGCTCCTGGTTCAGTCTTGATCTGTGCCCTTTTCGTTATCTGCTACCAGAAAACCAGACCCGACCTCTTGCTGCTTTGACACGAAACCCATCTGTCTGGAGGAGGAGGCGGCAGCTGGATGCGGCCGCGCTGTCTTTCGGGGCTGAGGCTAACTCTCAGAGGTCCTTAAAGGCCATTTTCTGAGCCGTCCTCCATACGCCGGCAATTTGTCTCAGGGGCAGGCTGGAGTTTCAACACCAAGCCGGCCTCACCAGCTGAGGCTACGGGATGCTATATGTTTCCAAAGAGCTTGGCGTTGAATGCCTAAGTGGCTCAGAGCTCCCAGGCGTCCTTTCTTAGAGAGGGGGAGAAGATACTTTCTGTGTTGACTGTCATCTGGTTGTTTTAAAGCAGGCATGGCCAAACTTGGCCTTCCAGATGTTTTGGGACTACAAGTCCCATCATCCCTAGCTAACACGGCCAGTGGTCAGGGATGATGGGAACTGTAGTCACAAAAACATCTGGAGGGCCAAGTTTGGCCATGCCTGTTTAAAGCTCTGCAAACTGGCTTCAGATAATTTAAGCTTCTAATTACAACTCCTTTGCTCTGGGAAAAGGCATCTTTGTTCCGGGATGTCAGAGAGCTCTCAAAGGTTGCTAAAATGAAGCCGCTGGTTCTTACTGCTTAAATCTGGTGAGGATAAGGTGAAACAAGCGCTTCTGGTGGCCAGCTCACGCTATGGCAACGTAAGAACAAGCAAGAAGAGCTCGTCGGATCAGGCCAATGTCCCATTTGGTCCAGTCCAGATGCGCCCATTGGCAAACCGGCGAGCAAGATCTGAGTGCAAGAGCATCGGTCTCCCCTTCCTGCAGTTTCCGGCAACTGGGATGCAGAAGCGGAGGTGAAACCAGAGTCCTTACCTTACTGGCTTCTTTCTTCCACTCTTTCGGACAGTACTTGCAGAGCTTTTGGGACAGCTCCATATAGACGTGCTCGTTGTCTGTGCCGTAGGAAGAAATGGGAAGCTGAGATTAGACAGCGGGCCTGTTGCAAGGACTCTCCCAACGTTCCTCTAAAAAGCGGGGACAATTTGGCACTTGCAGCCAAAAAGAACCACAGTATTGCAGTTCACAAAGGCAGCATTTTAGCAGTTTCTGCTGGAGGAGAACAAATTCCCCAACAAGCTGCTCTTTGTGGTAAGGTAAAGGGACCCCTGACCATTAGGTCCAGTCGTGGCTGACTGTGGGATTGTGGCACTCATCTCGCTTTACTGAACCAGAGCAGCGCACGAAAACGCCGTTTACCTTCCCGCCGGAGTGGTACCTATTTATCTACTTGCACTTTGACGTGCTTTCAAACTGCTAGGTTAGCAGGAGCAGGGACCGAGCAATGGGAGCTCACCCCGTCGCAGGGATTCGAACCGCTGACCTTCTGATCGGCAAGTCCTCGGCTCTGTGGTTTAACCAACAGTGCCACCCGCGTACCTTGCTCTTTGTGGTACTTAATTTCAAAATGTATTTTATAGTCGTCTTATGCACCACATCCGAGAAAGCGTGTTCTCCTTCACGGAGAGCACGTGTTGCAGTGGGGGCTGCCAGAACACTCCAAAGTTGTGGGGCAGGCTAATTGACTGTTGGCCACTGATGCGATTGGGTTTCCCTTCTCGTTGGGAAGAAGTTAATGCTGCCATTTGTTGACTGACAGCCAGAAATGCTAAAACTCCTTGCATGAGGCCAGGGCTTCCTCTTTTCGCCCGTGCATCGGATTGCCCGTCCCTCCCTCCCTAGAATTAGGGTTGTTCGCTTGACCTTGCTATGCCTGTCATGGGGTCGTCTGCTCTTGGGGCAGGGGCCCGGTAGGAATTTTGTCCATCTGGCTGATTGGCTGGGGCCATTTGGTTTTTGCCTACTGCGTAGCAAATCGTCACAACTTGTAAGGTTGCAGTTAGGCATTGGTTTATGGTTTGGTTGGTTGAGGGGCATGGATTGGCTGTGCCTGCCCCTCTAATGCTGCTGCTGCAAGGGATTCCGTTAAAGGAATCGGGCGCTAACTATTGCTTGTCCACCCTGTCAAGGGGGCTCGGGCCATAGCAATGAGCTCCTGGCTGCATTTGAGGTGGGCTGAGGGCAGGTTCCCTGCTCCATCGCTAGCCCCAAGTGTATTCCCCTTTTATGACTTCCGCAGGTGTGCGGAATGTCAAAGACTGCCCCCCACAGTGGGGGCAGCTAGTCGCAACCAGTGCCTAAGCAACCACTCACATGATTGTATTTTAATAAAGTTGTGGCCAAAATTATGCCAGAAACCTTAAACAAAAATATTGGTGTGATGTGTGAGTTATTGGGGTGGCCCTGGGGACACGCAACATCCTTTACTGAGAGGTGCTTCCGCACATCGGCTGCGGCGGCAGAAATGTTGTGCTGAGTGCTCACTGAGCGAGGGAGCAGCAGCAGGTCTAGCTGAAGGTCACTGAGCAGCAGGGCAGAGGTGCAGAGAGTGGAAGGAAGCCAAACCCTTCTCTCGGGACTTACTCTGAATGACGCTGAGTCCGAAGAGGTGACAGTCCTTCAGCCGCAAGAGGTCACACACCTGGACCAGTAAGTCATGGCACAATATTTTGACCTGCAAGGGGGAGAGGGTGGTGGAGGAAAAGGGAGTTATTTGGGGAGCGACTTCTGCAGGGATGATACAGGAAGACCCATTTATTTATTTCAGGATTTATAAGACGTTCAGCATTCAGAGAACACCCAGGCAGCAAACAGCAAAGGACACAAGACTTAATGCAGCATGTAAAAGCAGTTTTATAATTGTAAGACGCATGGGTGCAACTGAGCTTTCAGAATAATAATAATAAATGTTTATTTATACCCCACCCTCCCCGGCCAGAGCCGGGCCCAGGGTGGCTAACACCAGTAAAATTACAATAAAAACATAATAGGGAAGGGGGAAAAACACAATTTAAAATACAGGTTAAAAATGCAATTTAAAATGCAGCCTCATTTTAATAGTAGCACGTACATCAAAACCATAAGGGTAGGGAAACATAAGGGTCAGACTGAGTCCAAACCAAAGGCCAGGCGGAACAGCTCTGTCTTGCAGGCCCTGCAGAAAGATGTCAAGTCCTGCAGGGCCCTGGTCTCTTGTGACAGAGTGTTCCACCAATTCGGGGCCAGTGCTGAAAAGGCCCTGGCCCTAGTTGAGACCAATCTAACCACCTTGCGACTTGGGACCTCCAAAATGTTGCCATTTGTGGACCTTAAGGTCCTCTGCGGGGCAGACCAGGAGAGGCAGTCCCGTAGGTACGAGGGTCCTAGGCCGCATAGGGCTTGAAAGGTCAAAACCAGCACCTTAAACCTCACCCTGTACTCCACCGGGAGCCAGAGCAGTTGGTAAAGCACTGGATGAATGCGATCCTGCGGCAAGGACCCCGTAAGGAGCCTCGCCGTGGCATTCTGCACCCGCTGGAGTTTCTGGGTCAGCCTCAAAGGAGTCATGTAGAGCGAGTTACAATAATTAAGCCTGGAGGTGACCGTCACATGGATCACTGTGGCCAAATCAGGGCTTTGCATGGGCACAGAGGGAGGAACTTGCAAGAGTCCCAGACTATCCCTGAACCTTTATCTCTATGCTAACTCCTCCCTCTCCCTCCTTGTTGTTTAGAGGGCTACCCCTTTGGTTGCATCCTGTTTGTAACTTCTTCCTCGGGTTTCTCTCTCGGAGACGAGGGGTCAGCCAGATGGATAAGGTATAAATAATAATAATTAAAACATTTATTTTAATTTTTACTATCCTCTGAAAGAACCAAGGGGCAATTACGGCTGACTTGCTCTTCTCTAGGCTTCTTAGTTAGATGAGAACAAGAAACCTTTTCTATCTGCAAGTTAAGTAGTAAAAATTCCCATCATCCACCAGCAGCGTGGCCAAGGGTGAGGGATGATGGGAGTTGTAGTACAACAGCATCTGGAGGTTCCTGATCCCTGGGTCCGTTGCCAAGTGGAGTGTTAATCATGAAATTAGCAGCAGCTACCCAGGATTTTGGGCAGGGTTTCTGGAGATGACGGGAATTGAACCTGTAAACGTTTGCATGCAGAGCACAGCATATGCATTAAGCTCCAAGGGCTCAGAGCCAGAGAATTGGTGGTCAGAGGGAGAAGACTGTTTTGTGGGGACAGGGGGTAGGCAGGTATGGATGACTCCCTGGTCCTGAACGGGGTAGCTGTGCCCCTGAAGGACCAGTTGCGCAGCCTGGGAGTCATTCTGGACTCACAGCTGTCCATGGAGGCGCAGGTCAATTCTGTGTCTACCGGCTCCATCTGGTGCGCAGGATGAGACCCTATCTGCCTGCAGACCGTTTTGCCAGAATGGTGCATGCTCCGGTTATCTCCCGCTTGGACTATTGCAATGCGCTCTACGTGGGGCTACCTTTGAAGGTCATCCGGAAACTACAAGTAATCCAGAATGCGGCAGCTAGACTGGTGACTGGGAGCGGCCGCCAAGACCATATAACACCAGTCTTGAAAGACCTACATTGGCTCCCAGTATGTTTCCGAGCACAATTCAAAGTGTTGGTGCTGACCTTTAAAGCCCTAAATGGCCTCGGTCCAGTGTACCTGAAGGAGTGTCTCCACCCCCATCGTTCAGCCCGGACACTGAGGTCTAGCTCTGAGGGCCTTCTGGCGGTTCCCTCACTGCAAGAAGTGAGGTTACAGGGAACTAGGCAGAGGGCCTTCTCGGTGGTGGCCCCTGTCCTGTGGAACGCCCTCCCAACAGATGTCAAAGAGATAAACAACTACCTGACATTTAGAAGACATCTGAAGGCAGCCCTGTTCAGGGAAGTTTTTAATGTGTGACATTTTAATGTATTTTTAATCTTTGTTGGAAGCCGCCTAGAGCAGCTGGGGAAACTCAGCCAGACGGGCGGGGTACAAATAAAAAATTATTATTAATATTATTAACCATGGTTAAGGGAAATGTCGCAGAGCTACGCAGAGCCACAACGCCATTCTCGATTCCAAAGCCGTCAAAAACAAGAACGAAAATAATGATTCCAGGCTAGAACCACTAGAATCTCAAATATCGTTTCCAGGCAGTCAACTGCAAAGGGGGGAAACTGCAAGATCCATCGGACCCAAGAGGGCTTCCATTTTGCTTAACCCATTGCGATTTCAACAGCTCTGTTTGGAAGCTTGAAGCATGGGAGATGGAAAGCCGTTCCAAATGTCTAGAGAGACCGTTCACGGTCGTCAGGCCTCGGCTTCTCCCCGTTTTGCGGCAATTACGGAGACGGTGTGCAAATAAAGCTTGCAGATCCGCTACAAAAAAATATTCTAATTTCCAGCACGGCTCTGGATGCTTTGAGGGGCCCCTCGCTTCGCCAAGAAGGCACCAAGCCAGAGACTTAATAATTGAAGAATTCAAAACAGCCGCATAAGCAACTCTCTAAAAAATGTTGCATGTAAGAAGAGAGGAAGAGGTGGAGTGGGGGAAATGGCCCTGTCAGAGAAACAAAGGGAAGGCAAAAGCTCTAAAGGATCATCGCTTGGGAACTTCTAAATAGGACATCAAACTGTCAGGGGAGAGAAATTTGGTGTAGAGGTGGGCATGCAATGCAGCGGTCCTTTAAATTTAACGCCTGTCGTTTCCAAAAGGAAGTTCTAGTCACACAGCCAAGACAAAGAGCTTTTGGGTGACCGGCAAGGATATAATGGGTGAAAATTGTAACTTTTCCTTCTTTTCAAGCATGAACAGCATAGGCCTCTCTGGGTCACAGCCAGTGCCGGATTTAAGTATAAGCTGAACAAGCTATAGTTTAGGGCCCTACTTTCTTGGGCCCCCCCCAAAAAAATTTAAAGGGAAAGAAAACCTGGATGTACATTTCCAAAATATAAGATAAAGAATAAAATAAAACCTACATACAGTGTTTTGTATTGTGTAGGCTCCTATGATGTAAGTCATGGGCCCCGCCTGCTAGCCTGCTCCCTCAAATATCCCTGGTTTGCTCCTTTCTATATATAGGGTGCCTACATTCTGCATGGACTGGTCGCATGGCAACATGTGCAAATGGCTTGAGATACCCATTAGGTCCTTAAGTGATCATATAGCATATATTCAACACAAAAACAGCGACAATTTGTTGTTGACAAAGGACAGCTGGACATAGAAAGGGCCCCATTACCTTCAGCAACTTAGGGCATCATCAAACCTAAATCCGGCCCTGGTCACAGGTCCAAACCCCATGAAAGAAAGGACAGGAGCAAAACTGTTCTGGATAAAATTTAGAAGGCTGGCAGGAAAGGGTTAAGAGAGGCAGGCCTTTTAAACTGCCAGCTCTTCATTTCGGCAGCCTAATAATTCAGGCTGGGGAAAGTCATTTTGTGTTGCTGTAATTAAACCACCAAGAGTAAGAAACTCTTTGCTTGTCTACTGGCCAGGGATAGTCTAACATCTGTCATCTATGGTCTCTAGGTTAGACTACAGTGGTACCTCGCAAGATGAATGCCTCGCAAGACAAAAAACTCGCTAGACGAAAGGGTTTTTTGTTTTTTGAGCTGCTTCGCAAGACGATTTTCCCTATGGGCTTGCTTCGCAAGACGGAAACGTCTTGCAAGTTTGTTTCCTTTTTCTTAACACCGTTAATACAGTTGCGACTTGACTTCGAGGAGCAACTCATAGCACGCGGTGTGGTAGCCTTTTTTGAGGTTTTTAAAGACTTTGGTGATTTTTGAAGCTTTTCCAAAACTTTCCCGACACCGTGCTTCGCAAGACGACAAAAATCGCAAAACGACAAAACTCGCAGAATGAATTAATTTCGTCTTGCGAGGCACCACTGTACTGCAATGTGTTATAGGTGGGGCTGCCTTCAAAGGCGATTCGGAAACTGCAGCTGGTGGAGAATTCAGCGGCCAGATTGCTGAGTAACTCCAGTTTTGGCACAGGTACTCTGGCTGCTTCTGGGCCCAATGCAAACAGCAGGTTTTTACCCAGAAAGCCTTATGCAGCTCAGGACCACAATATTTCAAGGACACCCTCGCCCCACTTGAACCAACCTGGACCCCGTGCTCTTCAGCAGAGTCCCTTCCACGTGCCCCCTCCGAGGGAGGAACGGAAGGTGGCAACATGAGAAAGGGTCTTTTCAGTGGTGGCTCCCCATTTATGGACTGCTTGTCTCCAGGAAGGCATGCTCCCTCACTGTCTGCTTTTAGGCGTCAGGGAAAAACATGCATACACACCCAAGCCCTTGGAGTTTAATTCTTGGTGTATTTTTTTTTTATTTTTTTAGGGGCGGGGTTTGGGTTTGTTCTTTTATGTACAGTGGTTCCTTGGTTCTCAAACGCCTTGGTACTCAAACAACTTGGAACCCAAACACTGCAAACCCGGAAGTAAGTGTTCCGGTTTGCAAACCTTTTTCGGAAGCCGAACGTGCTCCATTTTGAGTGTTACGCTTCCGGTTTGAGTGTTGTGCTGAGGTCTGTCTGTTTACGCTATTCATTTCGCATTTTTGTTTCTGCGGCTCTTTTTTGTTTGGTTTTTGTGACTGGCGTGGAACCCAGTTCAGCTACTGATTGATTGTGTGACTGAAGTACATTGTTTATTGCTTTCATTTTATGGATCCATGGTCTCGTTAGATAGCAAAATTCACGTTAAATTGCTGTTTTAGGGGTTGTTTTTAAAAGTCTGGAACGGATGAATCCATTTTGCATTCCTTTCTACGGGATAGAGCGCCCTGGTTTTAGAACGCTTTGGTTTTGGAACGGACCTCTGGAACAGATTAAATTTGAGAACCAAGGTACCACTGTATGTTACTGTTATTTTAGGTTGATTTTATTCCTGCTTTTATATTTATTTATTACCTTTGCTTTTATAAATTGCTTCGAGTTCAATTTTTCCGGGGGGGGGGGGGACGGACGACTAATGACGACAATGACAATTATTTTATTACCTGCCCTTCGCCAGCAGGTCCCAGAGCCATTCAAAATTCAGAATGAAAAGCAGTTAAAAGAGATTGCAGCCCCAGGAATAGGGTGGGCCCTGCAAACACACCTAGCTTTCAAAGCCCAGGGTAACACTGCAAATTTCCCCCCTCCTCAGAGACCTGTCAGTAGAGCCCACCCCCTCTAGACAGTTCGACCGGGGGGGGGGGGTAATGCCCCACGCACCAAGACAGTGCTTGAGCAAGGTCCACTTCGCCCAGGTCTCATAAAAGGGGAAGGGGAAGGTTGGGGGGCACACACTTGCGACAGGCCCCCGGAGAACAGCCTTGAGACGGCTCACTCACGTTTATGATGATGTTGAGGGAATGGTCGTTGGGGAGGAAAACACACACGCTGCGTCGGTCCTGCATGACTCTGTTATTGTGGAAGTTCAATTTGTTCATCGTGTTCCGGGCTTCCCCCGTGGATGTCTGAGCGAGCCGCTTGGAGACTGCGCGGGAACCTCGGGGTCACGGCACTGGGAGACCAGCAGCTCCGCCTGCTCACCTGCGGCCAAGCAGGCTGGGCATCTGAGCATCTCTTCCCACGGGTACCATCACTGGAAAGGACGAGAAGCACACGCAACTTCAGGTGCTGCTGGCCACGAGAAGATGGGAGAAGAACTTCGCCATGGCCTACCCCCAGTGTTGGACTACAACTCCCTGACCTCGTCCAACCACAGCTGAGAAACACTGGACCCAAACCAATAATTACGATTAAAAAGGTAATGGTACCCCTGCCCGTACGGGCCAGTCTTGACAGACTCTGGGGTTGTGCGCTCATCTCACTCTAGAGGCCGGGGGCCAGCGCTGTCCGGAGACACTTCCGGGTCACGTGGCCAGCGTGACAAAGCTGCATCTGGCGAGCCAGCGCAGCACATGGAAACGCCGTTTACCTTCCCGCTAGTAAGCGGTCCCTATTTATCTACTTGCACCCGGGGGTGCTTTCGAACTGCTAGGTTGGCAGGCGCTGGGACCGAGCAGCGGGAGCACACCCCGCTGCGGGGATTCGAACCGCCGACCTTTCGATCGGCAAGCCCTAGGCGCTGAGGCTTTCACCCACAGCGCCACCCGTGTCCCTTTACGATTATTATTGTTTTAATCCTGCCTTTAAAAGAAAAATAAAGAACACAGGAGGTGGCCTGCAACTAAGAATGGGAAGCCCTCTCAATTTCTGTTTCCCATTTCTCCAATTTTGAAGTTTGGTTCTCCACATTTACATATACCGTATTTTTCGCTCTATAAGACACACCGGACCACAAGACGCACCTAGTTTTTGGAGGAAGAGAACAAGAAAAAAAAATATTCTGAATCTCAGAAGCCAGAACAGCAAGAAGGATTGCTGCACAGTGAAAGCAGCAATCCCTCTTGCTGTTCTGGCTTCTGGGATAGCTGTGCAGCCTGCATTCGCTCCATAAGACACACACACATTTCCCCTTACTTTTTAGGACGGAAAAAGTGAGTCTTATAAGAGCAAAAAATACGGTAAGTTTCAGATTCTCTGTTTCTTTTAAAATCCTCATGAAAATTCTTCAGCATTTCAACGTGACTGGTCGGAAGTTCAAATCCCCGCGACGGGGTGAGCTCCCGTTTGTCGGTCCCTGCTCCTGCCAACCTAGCAGTTCGAAAGCACGTCAAAGTGCAAGTAGATAAATAGGTACCGCTCCGGCGGGAAGGTAAACGGCGTTTCCGTGCGCTGCTCTGGTTCGCCAGAAGCGGCTTAGTCATGCTGGCCACATGACCCGAAAGCTGTCAGTAAAGCGAGATGAGCGCCGCAACCCCAGAGTCGGCCACGACTGGACCTAATGGTCAGGGGTCCCTTTACCTTTACCTATCTCCCAATAGACACACTTTTGCAAAGCACACTATCCCTAATATTGTCCCTATTATTATTTATTACCTGACCTTTGCCCTAAGGTACCAGGGCGCATCACAAGACTAAAAACGCAACATTAAAAGCAGCCTGAAACAACTTACAGTCTCAGAAATAAGGTGTATCCTAAAAACATACCCTTCGTGTGCCAAACATTTGCCCCTGCAGAAATCTGTTTTTGATATATTCACCATACAGTGGTACCTCGGGTTACATATGCTTCAGCTTGCAGTCTCCGCTAACCCAGAAATAGTGCTTCAGGTTAAGAACTTTGCTTCAGGATAAGAACAGAAATCGGGCTCTGGCGGCGCGGCGGCAGCGGGAGGCCCCATTAGCTAAAGTGGTGCTTCAGGTTAAGAATAGTTTCAGGTTAAGAACGGACCTCTGGAACGAATTAAGTACTTAACCCGAGGTACCACTGTACAGTTCTTTCAGGTGCAGAAACAACAAGGAAGCGTGTTTTCAATGTTATGGTCGTCAATGTGAGCATTTTTTCAAAGGAACCTTTTAACCCATTCTACGCATTCCTCTCATCATTACTTGGCTGAGAAGCAAAATGCGCCAACGCGTGAATTTTGAAAGATGGCTGTGTGTTTGGTTCATGTATCATCTCAGAAAGTGTGAATGGGGCAGAATTGCCTTCAAAGGGGAACTGGATCGAATCTCTGCCCCTGTCCTGACTCGCAACTGTTTTCTCCTCTAGTGGTGGAGGAGTCGAGAACGACAAAAATTCCCTCAACTCAGGCACACCATCAGAAGAAGGCGGCCTTCGCGCCAGCAGATAGAACGAAGTTGTTACTTGCGTAAAATGTTTCTGAACTGCGATTCAGCCGAGGATTCCAGGCTGCCGGACGGAAGTACAAGAACAGTTCCCGCTGCACGCAAATGCAAGAGATGAGATCATTCCCTCTCTTTGGCACACACAAACACACACACAAAAAGTGTGAACGAGAAAGCAGGCTAAAAACAGAGAAGCTAACGAAGAGAAAAAAGAGGCTGCAACTATTAGTCTAAAATGCCCAGGGCAACAAGGAATAATAATAATAATAATAATAATAATAATAATAATAATAATAATGTTTGTGATGTTAGGGCCCTCGTATTTACGGGACGCCTCTCCTGGTCTGCCCCGCAGAGGACCTTAAGGTCCATGAATAACTATAGTTTAGAGGTCCCAGGCCCTAAGGAAGTCAGACTATCCTCCACCAGGGCCTTCTCAGTGATGGCTACGACCTGGTGGAATGCTGTGTCCCATGAGACTAGGGCCCTGCAGGATTTAACCTCCTTCCATCAGGCCTGTAAGACAGAGCTATTCCGCCTGGCCTTTAATCTGAATTCAGCCTGATCTTTTATTTCCCTTCTCTTCCCTCCCCCTCCACTTTTATGAAGATCACCCGCTCTGAGACCCCACAGCTAATTCTCCCCTGGCCTCCTCGCTGGCCCAAGTAGGACCAATTCAGCCAGCTAGCTCTGGGGATTATCTGATTGATTTTTTATTTTTATTGTTATTCATGTTTTTATACTGTATTTTATGCTGCTTTAATAATTAAGTGTTTTAAAGTGTTTTAAATTTGTTGTTAGCTGCCCTGGGCCTGGTTTTTGAACCAGGAAGGGCGGGGTATAAATAGAAAATTATTATTATTATTATTATTATTATTATTATTATTATTATTATGACATTTTGCATGGAAAGCAAACGTTGCACCACTGAGCTCTGGAGCCCTTCCTCATTTTTCTTAAAGGCTTAAGCTAGATTCCTAGGTTCAAACTACATTCAGCCTGGCTTCCTATTTATTTGCTTAGGGACGTATGTCTTGTGCAGAGTTGGACCACTGGTCCGTGTAGCTCAGTACTTCCAACACTGACTGGCAGCGCCTCTCCAGGGTTTCGGACAAGCGCTACCTGGAGATGCCAGCGACTGCACCTGAGACTCCACCATCCCTTGAAGGATGCTGCGGCAAATTTGCTTTCCTGGGAAAGAGCACATTTCGTCACCTGCGCTCCCATCTCTGTAGCGCCGCAGTCTATTTGTGTGCCCTCAATGTTGCTACGAGGCCTTTTTGCCACTGGGTTCCCACCTCTGGAATTTGCAACAAGCAAAAACACTGTTTTAATTATCCTCTCCCCCTCCGCCGCCAAAGAAAATGCCGCCACAAACATGAACGAGGGCACCTTTTTATTAAGCGTACATTTCCCAATTGGGTTAGTCAAGCCATCGCCTCCTTTTCACTGAACGGAGGGGGACTCTGCATCTTTTTAATCAACTGGAAACTCATCTCCTGAAAGCCTGCAGGGCTTTCTTCCATGTGCAATAAGCGGCTGTCCAAAGGCAAGCTCCCTTCTCATCTCTGAACATTAAGAGCATAAGCTGAGCCTTCCTGGATCAGTCCGGCATCCTGTTCTCACAGTGGCCACCCAGGTGCCCGTGGGAAACCAGGGAGCAGGATTCGAACACAAGAGCAACTCTCCCCTCCTGTGGTTAATAATAATAATAATAATAATAATAATAATTTATTATTTATACCCCGCCCATCTGGCTGGGCTTCCCCAGCCACTCTGGGCGGCTTCCAATAAAATATTAAACTACCATAATTCATCAAACATTAAAAGCTTCCCTAAACAGAGCTGCCTTCAGATGTCTGGTAGTTGTTGTTCTCTTTGACATCTGGTGGGAGGGCGTTCCACAGGGACGGTACCACCACTGAGAAGGCCCTCTCCCTGGTTCCCTGTAACCTCACTTCTCGCAGCGAGGGAACCACCAGAAGGCTCTTGGCGCTGGACCTCAGTGTCTGGGCAGAACAATGGGGGTGGAGACACTCCTTCAGGTATACTGGACCGAGGCCGTTTAGGACTTTCAAGGTCAGCACCAACACTTTGAATTGTGCTTGGAAACATACTGGGAGCCAGTGTAGGTCTTTCAAGACCGGTGTCATGTGGTCTCGCCGGCCGCCTCCAGTCACCATTCTAGATGCCACATTCTGGATTAATTGCAGTTTCCGGGTCCCGTTCAAAGGTAGCCCCACATAGAGGGCATTGCAGTAGTCCAAGCGAGAGATAACCAGAGCATGCACCACTCTGGCGAGGCAGTCTGTGGGCAGGTAGGGTCTCAGCCTGCGTACCAGATGGAGCTGGTAAACAGCTGCCCTGGACACAGAACTGACCTGCACCTCCATGGACAGCTGTGAGTCCAAAATGACTCCCAGGCTGCGCACCTGGTCCTTCAGGGGCACAGTTACCCCATTCAGGACCAGGGAGTCCTCCATACCAGCCCGCCTCCTGTCCCCCCAAAACAGTACTTCTGTCTTGTCAGGATTCAACCTCAACCTGTTAGCCGCCATCCATCCTCCACGCACCCAGGACCTTCACCGCCTTCACTGGTTCTGATTTGAAAGAGAGGTAGAGCTGGGTATCATCTGCATATTGATGGACACCCAGCCCAAACCCCCAGTTACTGGTTTCCAGCAACTGGGATTCAGAAACATTGCTGCCTCGGACCATCAATAGCCCTAAGCTCCTCCATGAATTTGTCCAATCTCCTTTTAAAGCCATCTTGTGGGAGGGAGTTCCATAGATTAACCACGCACTGTGTGAAAAAGTACCGTATTGGCCCGAATATAAGCTGCATCTGAATATAAGCAGCAGCTTTAAAGTTGGGGGGGGGAGAGAAAAAAAGACAAGACCCAAATA